GACATTCCGGATCCTTTGAAACCTCGAGAAGCCCTGTACGGAGGTCGGACCAATGCCACCCGATTATATTGTGAGGAAGGGGACATGAGATACGTGGACGTTTGTTCCCTATACCCTTACGTGTTGAAACACAGACCATTTCCCGTAGGGCATCCCGAGATCATCACAGACGAGTTCCAGGACGTGAGAAATTATTTCGGTCTCATTCACTGTCGGGTCTTACCTCCCCGAGACCTCTATCACCCCGTATTACCTTATCGGACGGGAGGCAAGTTATTATTTCCCTTATGTCGCACGTGTGCCGAACGACAGGACTCTACGTCTCAAGATCGATGTCAACACACCGACCAGGAACGTAGTCTCACGGGTACTTGGGTGACGACCGAATTACATAAAGCCCTAGACATGGGATATACCTTAGATCGAATCTACGAAGTGTGGCATTTTAAAGAAAGCAGTCAAGAGTTATTCAGATCTTACATCGATACCTTCCTCAAGATCAAACAGGAAGCGTCCGGATTTCCCCCCGACTGTAAGACCTCAGAACAAGAACAAGATTACATTCGACAAGTGTTATACAAAGAAGGATTCATGATGGACATTCTCAGTATCGAGAAGAATCCAGTGAGAAGAACCATTGCTAAACTCTTTTTAAATTGTCTGTGGGGAAAATTTGCTCAACGCTTGTTATTACCCAAAACCAGATACTTGGACGAAGAAGAGGAATTACAGCAACTCTTACAAGATTCGACTCTCGACATCAAGGGCATGCAACTCTTAGACAATAAAGAGGATTCCAATAAGGACAAGATGCTAGTGAATTATCAAGACAAACAGGAATTCGTCGAAGAATGTCCCTTTGGAAACGTGGTCCTGGCTTGTTTTACCACCGCGCATGCCCGCTTACACCTCTACGAGACTTTACAACCTTTAGGAGATCGGGTCCTTTATTTCGATACGGACAGTATCATTTACCAACATCGGGAAGGAGCCTTTAATCCTACCTTGGGTAATAGTTTAGGAGAATGGACCGACGAATTAGACGGGGATCACATCATCAAATTCATGTCGGCAGGCCCTAAAAATTATGGTTACCGGACGGCCAAAGGAACCGAGGTTCATAAAGTCAAAGGAATCACTCTCAACTATCGTACCTCCCAGATCGTGTCCCTAGAGACTTTAGAAAAAATGCTCAAAGGAGAAATAGAGGAAGTGACAGTCCCTTATCCCAACAAAATCCAGAGGACTCGTGATCATGAGGTCGTGAACAAACCATTAGAGAAAAAGTATAGAATTGTGTATGATAAGAGACAATTGTTACCCTCTTATAACACTTTACCTTATGGTTATTGATATGTTCAATGTTGACATTGAATTAAAAAAAAAAATTGAATTGTTGTTTTATGTGTTGTTGTTTTTCTTCTTCTTATTCTCTATAAAAAGGGGAGCAATACAAATCAAAAGTTCAGTCATGACTGAGAAATTGCTAGATCAACCCATGCGTTATCCCCAGTATGCTCGGCTCTCAAAGAGAGAAGCTACTTTTGAGCAGGGATGGCCAGAACCTCTCTTAGGAAAAATACCAGACCTAGCTCGAGCCGGGTTTTACTACAGGGGAGTGAAAGATAGCGCTACCTGTTTTCATTGTGGAATGATTTTTAGTAATTGGGATCCCGAGGACGATCCTTGTGTAGAACATGCTTATTGGAACCCCAATTGTCCTTACATCAATCTGTATAAGGGACGAGGATGGGTGATGAATGTGTTTATTACGTGTTTAGATCAGCAGGGATATAAACCTTTACCTGAGATTAAACCTCTACTGAACCCACAACCAGACGTCCAGGCTCGAGGAAAATGTCACATTTGTTTAGACGAGGAATTACAAATCGTTTTTCTACCTTGCGGACACGTATGCTGCTGTGCTTTGTGTGCTCCTTCCTTTCAGTTTTGCCCCATCTGTCGAGGCGAGATTCAACAGTCCAAACGCCTATTTCTGTGTTAACTATAAATAAGACCCTGAACCCAACTTTTCTTTCATTGATCAACATGTATTCCGAGGAGACACCCCTCCCTTCTTTTCAATTGAAACACGAGTTTACCATGGTGGTTGCTGGACCCTCGAAATCGGGCAAAACAGAATTCGTCAAGACATTAGTGAACAATCTAGACTGGATCACCCCCATGCCCGAAAAAATCGTCTGGTGTTATCGGGAATGGCAACCCGCTTACACTTCTTTAAAAGAGAAGGTATCTTTCATCCGAAATATTCCAGAAGACGACGAGAAATTAGTAGCCAATTTGAGTGTGCCCCATTTACTCATTTTTGACGACATGATGGGAGGAAAAGCCATCGAATCGATTGTGGATTGGTTTACCCGTAAAGCGCATCATCGGAATACCAGTGTGATTTACATCACTCAGAATTTATTTGATCGAGCTGCCTCTCATCGCACCATTAGTTTGAATGCTCATTATTTAGTCTTATTCAAAAATCCCAGAGACAAATCTCAGATCAGTGTGTTGAGTCGTCAGCTAGCTTTACCTCATTTGATGTCTGCTTATCAAGAAGCCACCCAGGTACCTCACGGATATCTTCTCGTGGACTTGAGTCCCCATACCCCAGACCAATACCGATTGAGAAGTCGAATGTTTGAAATGTTGACTGTACACATGCCTCAAGAGTATAAATAAAAGTGTTTCACACTCTTCTGGGTCATTGTTCATTTCCATCTCATCATGGCTCCATCAGCCAAGAGTAAATTAGTGAGAACCTTACGACGTTTACAGCGGGAACGAGATCCCGCGAAGCGAGCCCATTTAATCGAATTAGGGCGTAAAGCCTTATTGAATTGGTTTGCCATGGGAGCTCGCAATTTAATGAAAGGGGTCTTACCTATCAATAAACAGACCCAAAAGTTTATTAATAATCATCGTCAAGATTTAAAGATCATAGCCGATCAATCGGCCAGTGATGAAGACAGAAAAACAGCTATTTTAAAACGCGGAGGAGCTGGATTTCTAGGTGGAGTCATCATTCGTCATTTATTCAAATGGAATAGTCCTAAAAAACGCCGGGTTCGTCGTTTAAAGAGTGTAGTGGTAAGAGTCGATAATAAGAAACAAAGAGTGTTTCCAGATTGGATGGTCCGTGTCGGAGGAGCAGCTCAAAAGAGCAGAAAAAAGAAGAAGAGAAAAGCCCCTCCCAAGAAGAGAAAACCCCCTCCTAAGAAAAAAGCCCCACCCAAGAAAACACCAGCAGGGAAAAGGCGAAAATCTGCTCCTCAAACTCTAGCTCAACGTAAAGCCATGCCCGAAAGTCTAAAAAACGAAATCAATCAGTATTTTAAGGAACAAAGACAAAAGACCATAGGAGAATTGCTCAAGAAACAAGCAGAACTGAGAATGGATCGTGCTATGGGACCCATAGGTAGTCAAAGAGCCAGCGATTTAGAAGTGTTTCCTCGTGTGAATGTGGGCATTCCCTCCTCCTCCCCTGGAATTAAAGTCCCCATTCATGTCCCTAAAATCACACGCTTTCAACCCTTGACATCCTCCACCCCTCAACTACCTAAAGGTCTGAGATATAAATGCCGATATTGTGGAAAAATTTATGTCAGGGAGAAAGCGAGAGATAAACACGAGAGCGACAAACACGGAGGGTATGCCCCTCCTTAAGACTATAAAAGGGAGTGACATGAGAGACTTCTCTTCATTGTTTTCAAAGATGGCCAAGAAGAAAAAGGGATGTTGTACGCGATTAAGAGCGCATGCCCCTCTTTTAAGAGTGTTATCGGACCCTCACTATTCCTCGTCTTTAAAAACGGGGATTTTAAAACATTGTTCTGGAGATTGTATTATGAAAATTTGTGAGATCGTCTACAACCTATTAAAAGGGGTGTTACCTCTCAATTCGGCTCAGAAACGAAAACTAGCTCCAAAGAAACACATCTTAAGGAGACTGGTCCGACCCCAATCCATACAGAAAAGACGAGCTTTATTAGTACAACAAAAAGGAGGAGGTCTTTTACCCCTTTTAATCTCAGCAGCACCTTTACTGTTGGATGCCGGACATTCTGTCTATAAAGCCATTAAAAAGAAGAGGAACAACAAGATACAAAAATGAGTCGTAAAATGGTGTTAGTACCTGAAGTTCTGTTGAATGAACTCAAAGGTAAACTCCCCAAACCTCCGGAATTTCAATCTACTCTGAGTATAGGTCAAGAATTGGATCAGATTACCAGACGTGAAGATTTAACTCCAGAAGAAAAAGTGGCTTTATATGGTCAAGAACTTCATCGGTATAGGAATTATTTACAACAAGCGAGAGAGCCAGGGACTACCAAAAAAACCTCAGCCCCTGCACCCGTAGCAGCAGCAGCAGCCCCAGCCCCCGCAGCAGCAGCTCCAGCAGTAGCAGCAGCAGCAGCACCACCAGATCCCGAGATGGATCAACAAATCATTCAAAGTGTGAATAAACCCATGCAAAGAAAAGCTGAATTATTATTAAATCATTTAAAGAAAACCAACGTCTTGACTTGGAATAAAGACGGAGAAATCAGTTATCGAGGTCAAAAAGTGCCCGATTCTAACATTGTGGATATAATGGCTGAAAACATGAGAACCAGATCCTTGAAAAATCGTCCGGTGCCTAAAGGATTAGATGAATTTGCTCAAGCTTTAAAAGAGACCCGTACTCCCATGGTTTACTTGCAAAATCGAGACCTTATAAAAGCCATGCAGAAACCAGGAAAAATCAGTACACCTAAAGGGGCTTTGAGTGACGACGACGAAGAAGAGGAAGAGAGCGGATTTCAGGATGCTTCCTCTTCTTTTTTGACCCCTATTAGTCGACCTGTAGAGGCAAGATCAAGGGTGTTAAAAAAATTCACACCTAAATATAGTCCCTATCGAGCCCAAAAGCAATTAAAAGCCCAAGAAGAAGAAGCCAAGAAGAAATTAGAACAAATCGAGAAAAATTGGCTTCATTTGCCTAAGAAATGAAGAAGAAGAAGAAGAAGGGAATAGAAGACATTTTAACAGAGATTTATTACGATCCTAAGAGAGGATATGGAGGCATACAGACTTTGTATCGTCAGGTCAAAAGTCTGGGGCATAAGATTTCTTTGAATACCATACGAGAATGGTTAAAAGAGCAAGATACCTATACCTTACATAAACCCATTCATAGAAAATTCCGGAGACAACAGACCAGAGTGACGGATATAGACGAACAATGGCAATTAGATTTAGCCGATGTGTCCAGTTTAAAGAAATACAATGACGGCTATACTTTTTTATTGTGTGCCATTGACGTCTTATCTAAATATGCTTGGGTGGTGCCTTTAAAACAGAAAACGGGGAAAGAAATGATTCGAGGATTACAAGAGATTTTCCGACAAGACGATCGACGCCCCGTCCGCATTCAATCGGATCAAGGCAAAGAATTTACCAATCGAGAATTCTTACAGGCGTTTAAATCCATTCATTTCTTTACCACTCGCAATACGGACACCAAAGCCAGTATCGTGGAAAGATTTCAGAGAACCCTCAAAGCACGCATGTGGCGGTATTTCACTCGGAATAAGACCAGACGGTATTTAGAGATCTTACCGGATTTAGTGTATGCTTACAATCATACTTATCATCGCAGTATCCAAAGAACCCCAGCTCAAGTGAAGCCCTCGAATGTGTTAAAAGTCTGGAAAACTTTATATGGGGAATCATCACCTAAACCAAAACCCCCCAAGTTTAAAACAGGAGATAAAGTGCGCATCAGTAAAGCTAAACGCACTTTTGAAAAAGGATATTTACCGAACTGGACCACGGAAATATTTACCATTGCTCAACGAGTCCCCGGTCGGAATCCTTACGTGTATCGAGTACAAGATTACAACCAGGAGGAATTAGAAGGGACATTTTACGAGAAAGAATTACAACAGATCATTAAAAAAGACGACGTGTACGAAGTGGAGGAAATCTTGGGGTATAAAAAGCGACGAGTCAAGAAGTCAAAGTCCGGTGAAAAGGATATCCCCCTAGTTTCGATTCATGGATTCCCCAAACGGAATTCATCAAATAACACCTCATTGGAAATGTTGTGGAGAGAATATTCCTCGAGAAGAAATTGTGTATTTTGCTCAATTATTCATTTGTATTTCCCTTATCATCACCAGTGTGGTCATGTTAGCTTTACACGATTCTAATCGAGAATATTGGATGGTCTGTGTGAGTTCTTCGGTCGGTTACATCATGCCTAGTCCTACCATGATACATCAAACCCCTAGGGTCAAGAAGACGAATTCACCCAGTTAATCCCGGAATCTAAAAATAGATACACCCCTCTATATAAAAAGGAGACACCATAACCCCAAGAGGATCATTTCTGATCTGAGTGAGGGACAGAGCACATCATGGATGTTTTAAGCTCAGAGTATCGTTGGAAAATAGTAGAACCTGAAGGGACTAGTCACAAAGGAGAATGGATGAAAAACAAAGAGACATGTATTCAAGATTTCTTTGATAAGAATCCAGGACAAACAGGTCTCAATGAAATCTACCTGTATAAGAGATTCAAGTTACCAGACCGCCAAAGGAGCAAACATATACTCTTAATAGGAGCCAGATCACCTAAATATGGAGAATTCAAATGGAAAGTCAATTACGTCTTGGCTCACCGAAGAGAGGGACCTGAAAGCACTTTGATTCAAGAAAAATGGATGAAAAAAGCTGGAGATTGTATAAAAGACTATTTGGAAGAAGTGGTCGTAAAAGGATACGATATCATGGACTGTGCTTGTGAAACAGAATATTTGTACATGAGGAGACCTTTTCCCATACAAAAAGAACTGAACAGAAGTTTTGAATGTTTGTTATTATGATGTTCTTGTTCTTGTTATGAATAAAAAATAAAAAGAAAAAACCAAAAAATTCTAGTGTTGTTAGTTATTTTTCCCTATATACACAAAACTAAACGCTCTATATACACACAACAGAGCGCTCTCTATACACTAGCTTTGTCATGATGACGTCACAATCACGGATTTGAATCGCTGCCAAGTATTACCTGTGTAGTCAGCATAATAAAAAACGTAGGTCTATCGTATGTTTTGCACACGGGCCGCTGACTTGAATCGCTGCCAAGTATATTACCTGTGTAGTCAGCATAAAAAACGTAGGTAAAACGTGCACAGGCCCCGCCCCCCACAGCAGGTATATAAAGCGGAGCTGGGAGTACCCTGCACTCATTATTTAGCAATCATGTCTTTTGTGTGGAGAATTATATATTGGATTGATGTAGAAAAGACAATATGTTATCACTGCAATGAGAAGACGAAAGAGATACATAAATTGTTGCTTGGTACTGGGGATGTAGTAAATGTAGAGGACCTATGCCACACTGGATGGTAGAAGACCCCCCTTCCATGGAGACTTGTGGTTGTAGCTGGTGCCTGAAATATTTCATCTGGAAGAAAGGAATTGAGAATATACCGTCTCCTCGATGGGTGAAAATGACCAGGAACAGACCTTTGAAAGAATGTATGATGTGCTACCAGGAAAAGACTCAAGGAAAATGGAAATGCGGACAATGCCGTCAGTATCCCTGTTGTGAAAAGTGTGTGAAGAAACTCTTTGAGACTTCCTACAAGAAATGCCCCCTATGCCGATATGAAGGACAATAAAATCATTTGACTTTTTTGTATTTTTTACTTGAATAAAAAACTTGTTTTGTTTTTTAAAAAAATTCTTTGTTTTGTTGTTTGTTTTAAAAATAAAAAAAAAATAAAATAAAATAAAAATCGGGTTTTATCAAGAGGTATATAACAAAACCCTCTCTCATTCTGAAAAAGGACACTGAACAAGTCAGACGTGTTTTTTGTTTCAAAGATGCAGTATCGTTGGTATTGTGAGAGTCCCATTAGTCAGTGTATGTACATGCAAGGAGGGTGGATGAAAACTAAAATAGGAGCCATCATGGATTTCTATGAAAATCATCCAGGCTATTCCCTGGAGAATGTGTGGTTGGAAAAAAGAATGAAAATCCCCTATCCTCTAACAGGATCTAGAGTGAGGGTGAAAATCAGTCAACATTATCAGCAATACAAATGGGTCACTTGTACTCAAAGGAATCGTCTGACACCCATCAACACCATTCAGAATGAAAGTTCATGGTACTCGGACATTGGAGATTGTCTGAAATATTATTTCAAGATGGAGAAAAAAGGACTTGTATTGTCGCATCCCCTTTTCCTAGATTAAAGACTCGATGGAAAAGAAAGGACATTTGTTGACTCGAGTGATTGAGGACCGATCATCATCATCAGAAGAAGAAATAGAAGTGTAAATCATTGAATAAAATGTTTGAATTTTAAAAAAGTGTTGTTATAAATACAAAGGTCTTAAGGTCTAGGGTCTCAGTCTTAGATTGAACATGGCCGAGAGCAGTGGGTTTTACATGACTTTACCCAGTGATGGGTCTATGACCTCTTTTTCTAGCAATACGACCGCTCAATTTAAAACCTTATTACCACAAACAGTGGATTTAACCGACGGAGAATGGGAAGTGGCTTTAACAGAAATGATGTATCCCAATTCATTGAAAAACATTACAGAAAAGGAGGCTTATTTTGACATCCTGGTTCCTCAGTCTTTTGCTCACCATATCAAAAACCCCAATGTTTATGGCAGATTTAAAATGAAAACCTTAGACCCAATGCCATTACGTCAATGTCCTGTACTGCTCGATTGGGCCCATACTAAACGGCCTGCACTCGTTGAACTAGATAGCAAGATGGAAATTCGACGAATTCACTTCAGATCCGGGCCTTATGTTCACCCCAAGGCTTTAACAGAGGAAATAAGTCTAGGACTACAGAGATCATTGAAAAAAATATGGAAAACCCTTAGTGAGGGAAATGAGGAAAAATCTATGAAATTAGTATATTACGAGACCTATGATCGAGTGATGTATGAAATCAATGAAAAAATGCTTACTCCCTTATGCATTCGTTTCCCCACATCCCTAGCTTATAAGCTAGGCATGGACAGTCAGAAAGTCATTCTTCAGAACGATACAGAAAACATGACCAAATGGATCAACATTAGTTACTTGGGAAACAGTACTGTGGATTTATATGAAAATCTGAAATCCATGTATGTCTATTGTGACTTGATTCAACCCCAGACGGTAGGCTCCAATGCCTTGAAATTATTAAGAGTGGTGCCTTGTACGTTTCATTTGGAGGATTCAAAACAAGCCAAATGGGAACCCATTCGAGCGGAATATTTGAAACTAAGTAAAAAACATTTCGATACCATTGAGATTCACATCATGACTCCTTTAGGACAACCCATGCCCTTTGTAAGTGGTAAATCAGTGGTGAAACTTCATTTCAGAAAAGTCTACTGAGATGAATGTACCGTTATGTACCGAATGTACATCTTATTGGGTGTGGTGGCTTGCCTGGTCTGCTGTCTGTATTGTATTCAGCCCTAAAACATGGGGTATAAAAGGAAGTCCCCCGAGGACCTAAAGGTCAGTTGAACAAGAGACATGAACCATGCAGTATCATCCCGGATTACTGAGACAAAGAGGACACGGTTGGACTTATCATAAAGGTTTATTACGTCAAAAAGGCGGAGCAGTAGGTTCTATCATCTCTGGATTGGTGGGAGCCCTTCCCTTGGATAATCTATCGGGAACTCCTATTACAGGATTACTCAAATTGGGTAGGCTTTTAACTCACATGAAACCCCAAAAAGGAGAAAATTTTTTAAACTTTCTCTCGGGAGCGATTCCTAACATACCCCTACCGGGCACAGGCTCAGGTTTGACTCTCAAAGACGCGACCAAGTTAGCCATGGGGTTACAAAAAGGTCGAGGATTTGTCAAAGATTTACTCCAACATGGGAAAAAACAAGCCATCATGGCCGGAGTGAAGATAGGCCGGGATGTAGTGGGAAAAAGAAAAAACATCAGAAATGCTCTTTTAACCCACGGACTCAATGCGGCCAAAAATACAGGTCTATTTGCTTTCAATCGAGGAGTCTCTTTACCCTTTAGAAAGAAGAAGAAAAAAAAAGGACAAACAGGTCAAGGAAGAAGAAGAAGAAAAAGAAGAAGGCAGACAGGAAGAGGGAGAATCCTGTTAGCCCGAGGGGGTCCTAAGAGAAAAAGGAAAAAACAAGGAGGAATTCCTAAAAGAAAACGTCATTTAGATGTGTTTGACTGAGAGAGAGAGAGAGTATAAATAGGACAGTCCAGGGAACAGAAGGTTCATTTGTGAAAACTGAATCCTAGTAGACACATCATGTTACAGCCCGATTCCTGTGCGTGTGGAATGAACAGTTTAGAATTGTTTCAAGTCCCTCCGACTAATATTGCTTTAAAAGACTCGAAATGGGAAGAATATTACCCCATTTCCAGTACTTTAGATTCCGACACCGCTCCCATCGAATTTGAAATCAAAGGACAAGGAGATCACTATCTGGATTTATCTCAAACCTATGTACAACTGGTATGTAAATTTACCAAAGACGATGGAAGTAATCTGACTGGGGCGAACAGCACTTCGAGTCCCGTGAATAATATCTTACATTCCATGTTTACGGAAATCGATGTCAGTCTGAATGGGAAAATAATAACTCCGGGGACGGATACTTATCCTTACAAAGCTTATCTTGAGAAATTATTGTCTTACCGACCCAGGCGACCGTTTCACTAACAAATCGCAAATCGTAAACGTACGATAACGTTTACGATCGCCACACGTACACGTAAACGAGCGTTTCACTAAACCTATCGTAAACGTAGCACTTACGACCGACGAGTTACGATCAACTTATTGGAACTCTTCTGACAAAGGAGGTAACTGTAGTTACAGCAGACGATTTATGTCAACAATCATCGCAATATGGAAGAGAGGAAAGCTAACTGGTCCGAGGTAGCTATTGAGACGCTGGTGGACCTCGTCACAGATTCTGAGCGATGGGCTGTAATCCGAGGGAAGTTTAGCCCAGCGCTTACAATCCACACAAAACAGAAAGTCTGGATTGACATAACTGAAAGGTATCTCGATCGTACTAAAGGACATTGATACTGTCAGCAACATTTATAAATACATTTCTACAGTTATTTAAAAAAATCATTTGTTCAACAATCATAATCGTTTTTCAATATTTTTACCGAACTTTAAATAGCTAGACG